AAAAAAAATGCAGCAGGCTTCTTGGAAAAGCTTTGAGAAAGTTAACGGAAAGATAACGGAGGAAGGGACGGAAGTGACAAACGGTAACAACCTAACGAAACTGAAGTTACAAAAAATGACTATTTTCTTCAATTTTTATAAATTAACGGCTAAAACTGTTATGTTATAAGGTGAGGGGCCAAAACCGTCCAACTTATCAAGGTAAGAGACTATTTTTAAGCTTTTGCCCCATTTGATGTGGAACGTTATAATGTATAAAAAAAAAAAAAAAGCAGTGTGAAAATTGAGACCTGCTTTTTCACGCCTACCTTCTTCTATTACCTACCAAACCAATATCAACGACCCGTTTCAAATCAGTCTTCGATTTCTGTCCGATTTGGTTTCGTTTGGAACTGGCACTTTTTCACACAATACATTATCTAAAAATGCTAATTTACTATAGCGTAATTTATTAATTTTAATTAATTTTTTAATAAATTTTTAATAATTTTAATTAACATTTTCTATATTTTTACGATAAAAAGAAAAAGACAAAAACCTACAACAACAGCAAACCACAACCTAGCACAGCACTCTACTCCCAACCGAAGCCATTCTGTATATTTCATCATTTGTTTGTTCAAGTGTATAGCATCAGATTATGGAAGGACTCTTTGAGTGCGAAATAAGTTCGGAAACCAAACAGGGTATACCAAAAAAAAAAAGGAAAAAAGAAACAAAAGCATTCTACGCCCTGACAATCATCCTAAAAAGTAAAGAAAGCTATATAGGTTCCGTAAGGACTAAAACGCCAAAATTGGTACTTGTTTCCTAGAAGCTGTATTAAGTATTACAAAGATGATTGACACCTGCCAAATCCTTTGTATCAATTATAAAATATGCATTTCTCTAACGCAAAATCACCTACCATGTCCAAGATTCCAAGTCATGGCCCTCTATAGGTTCTAGCATATACTCGTATGAGTTATAAACTTACCCATTGTGGTGTTTTTCATTGCCAAGGATTCTTCTTTAGTGTCCCACTTCTTTTTGAGCTACTTGTTGACTTGGATTTCTGCTGGGACATAAAAGAATGTTGCAAAAGTAGAGAGATCAGAATGAATCTTAAACCGTTGAATTGAAGACAATGATAATACAGAGAATCCATCAACTCTACGTACAGATTTTGATTTCTTCATCTTTCCCCGAATCCTGTTCTTCTGAGGTTTCAGTTTGTATATCCGAACCATCCAATGGTGAGTTGTGAATACCTAAATTGAAAAGAAGCCATTCAAATCTGGTCAGAATAAAAGGGAGTTTATTTTGGCCAAAAGAAAACGGGTGTTTTTATTGCATCAAGGAAAAATATTTATGGACAAACTCAACCCAAAAGAGAAGAAAAAAGTCATGCATGGTAGAGAAGTCATGGCTGTTCATAGTCAAATGTCTGTCAGGAATCTGAGAAACACATCTTTAAATTCTAAGACCAATGGGGAGAGAACAAAGCATGAAATTCTTAGTTACTAACATCCCAAAAGTCACTCAATGGATCTCATGAATCTAGGCTTACATGCACCATAGTGAATTAGGTATAAAGATATCATTGCCAAAAACATTTGAAAGAGATTAAAACTAAAGATCAATCTCCATTTTTCCTTTTTTGGCCCAAAAACTAAAGATCAGCTTACCTCCTCAAAATGACTAAGTTTGAAATATTTCTTGCCAATTTCTGTTCGCCTAACTCTATCAAAGGCTTTCCCGTCAGTTTCAACAAACCTGAAGACAAGGCATTAAAGAATGCACATCATACCTAGTCCAGAAGATTAAACATAACAATCATTTTTCAATACAAATGTCACAGCAGAAGCAGACCTGTAATATGAGAGTTTGTACATGAGACAATTCAGCATGGTTGGAGTAGCCTGAGAGTCAATCCGATACTGACCATCTCTCTTTAGACAGATAGCATAAAAAGGAACAGTTAATAACAGTTATGATGGAAATAAATTAGTAGAGAACAAATACATAATCTAGATTCTTGGCCAAAAGCAGAAACCTTGATATACTAAGAAGCCCAAAAAATATATATTTCTCATTTTCCTAACAGTGTGCTAGAACTCACGAGGTAATCAGGTTCCTTGATATGAGGGAACACCCCCCCTCCTATGCGGACCATCCACAGGAATTTATTAATATCATCACTGGGGTAGCCAACAAGACCTAATGAGTAAAGAATGCCATCAGAACAATAATTTTCTTGGTTAGATAATTTGGGAATACAAGAATGTAGCCTAATGAGTAAAGAGTGCCATCAGAACAATAATATTCTTGGTTAGATAATTTGGGAATACGAGAATGTAGCTGACCTCCAAATACAACAAGAACATATTTAACATCCAATGAGTTGAAAATTTCCCAAGCTGCCTTTTCAGGAGATGACATGGCAGTACCAACAGTAGCAATGTGGGTATTATTCCAGGTATTATTGTCAACTATGACTGTACGATTAGCCATGGCAGTGGTTTGATATCCATAGTCCCACCATGATGCAACCTGCAGAGGGATTTTAGTTAGAACCACCTTCACTAAATGGACTTATTTCATAACATTGGCTGCTTAAAAAGTTAAAAATGGATTATTTAAAGAAACAATAAGATGCCATTTAGGTCAGAGTCCACCTTGGCAACAATCATACCAATACTAAAACACATAAATTAGCATAAATAACAATGATTAGCAGGAAAATGAATTTAACAAACTCAAAATATCCATATCAGCTTTGTGGTTTAAAATATCTTTATCCTCCAATGCTAATAAAAACGAGTTATATTTTTCAGAAACATTAGATGACAGCAGTAAAGTAACAATATTGATTGTGTTCAGAATTTCTACTTCAAACCCTGGAATGATTAAGATGGTTTCTAGAACAGGATGCTATGATCTATTGTATAATTAACATCTATAAAGATCTAAAATGATGCCGCGTTACTAAAGTAAAATTAATAAACAATAATCAAGCAGTTTTAATTCCAGCCCTAGCAGATTGCTATCATCTCATCCTAGCCCCAGCAATCATAACTTATTGGAGTTCACACATTTTTTATCACAAAAAGAAAACCCTTTACTAACAAGAATTGATGTATTTCTCATAATGGAAAGAAAAACTGCAGAACTCCTGACAAGAGCAAAACAACAGAAGTTTAACATAAGCTGCACAGTATTAAACAGAAATTACAATTTGCAAACCATTAAATTCTGGTAAAAACAATGCAATAGATAGACAAAATACACAAATCTTAGAAAGCTATGCACTTATGCCACACAGAGGAAAGTATAACAGAGAATCTACCTTATCATCTACATCAGTGTTGTGGCTTAACCATGCATAAGCTTCCCTAAAATCATCGAAAACGTGTAGACCATCATGTGAGTGAGATGTTAAAACAATTGAAGGAGCTGAGTACGCTTCTGCTGCTGCCCAAACACAATGAACCTACAAGAAGAAGCTCAACTATAGTAAGAGCCATTTCAATATAAAAGAAGAAAAAAAGACTTGAACAGTTTACAATTTGCAGTTTATATGCAAGATCCTATGTGTATGGTAAACTTAAAACTATTCATAGGAAAAAAAGGCCCATACTAATAGTTTAATAGTGAGAAATCTGGCCTTTTAAGTGCAATTCAAAAATACATAGTATATCATGGGCTTCCATCTTTGTTACAGTAAAATGGTAAGAAACTAATAATGAAGCCAGGTAAAAACATGCAATTAGACAGCAAGCTTTATAATGAAAAAATGGTTAAGTACCACATAGAAGCCACCAAGCAACACAAGTAGTAGAAGAGCAATCACAGATGCTTCAAGAGGTAAAACCAGAAGCCTCTTCTTTTCAGCTTTGGACTTAACAGAAGGCTTTTCCAGCTGCTCTTTTTCCTTCTTCTTGTTCTTTCTTGAAGGCCGCTCCTTCAATGTCACCCCACTTTTATCAGTCTTTGTTACTTCAGTTTGTCCCTCAACAGTAACAGGATTACTACCCTGCTCCTTAATGATCAAAAGCATTCAATAAATTAGTCTCCCAAACCTGTATGATTAATTAAACTATAGACAACTTTTGAACAGCTAGTATAGATAAAAGAAAGACATCTTACATCAACTTCAGAATTCATTGTCAGACTAGGCAGCTGAAATTTGATTGATCGGGTGAAAACATCAAAAGCCTGAGAGAGAGCAATCCCAGACAAGATACATGCTGCTGGAGCAAGTACAAGCATCAAGCGCACCTGAAAAATTATAACAGAAATATCTCAGATTTCAAAGATAATAAGAAACATAAGCAACCAATTGAAAGTGGCTGCCCATATTTTACCTACCATGACTCCAGAGAAATATACAGATGTGACAATGTACAGAACCACAAAGGAGCTTGCATCAGATAAAGGTGAGAAGCATGCCTGCCAGCAGATAAAGACAATCATGGTAGATGTTATAAGCATTGCATTACAGGTAAAAAGCAGAAAGTTTCTGAAAGCTTGCGACTTACAATGATACCAGCTGGAACCAAGAATGCCAAAACATTAATGTCCATAAAGTACGATGGCCATGTAGGTGGTTGATGTTCACTAACACTAGCAATAATTGGTATATATTTGCTAGCATAAGTTCTGTCACAGTGCAGTAAAATAGAAAGATGTTATAAAGCTAGTTACAAATAACTAATAATTCAGGAATAGGTAAAATTTTAAGCATTTCTCTTTTTTTGGACAATCTTGTTAAGATTGCGTTGGTTTCTATCTGCAAAGGCTTACTTACCAAACATTTTTTCCACTCAGAATCATGAATAATTTCGTTACAGAAGAAATTTCTTGCTTTTAAAAATTGGGAAACATTTTTTTTTAATAACAGGAAAAAACAAATTTGAAAACTGAAAACATTGACAAACACGGTCACACACTAAATAAAAGCACAAGATCTGAACACACAAGTGTCTCCATCAACTTACTTCACATTGTTACCATAAGGAAAGCAGGCAACAGACATAAACAGTTAAAATACTTTATTTCATCACAAGTATTATAGATTCAATGGAACAAAAGGCTATCCAAAAGTAATGTCCACATTAATATCCAAAGGATTAGGTTAATAGAGATTAGATGAAAGGACTATGTACTCACGGATCAAGGAGACTCAAACTCCGTCCACTCCATCCCTTAGTTGGACTGGAAGCTACCAATGCTACGAGAACAGCTATCACGGCACAACACACCACACTGGAAAAATTGAAAGGAAGAAGCTGATTGTTCCATGCTTCATTATATTGATATACTGAAGTAAAAGACAATTGATCAAGAGCACAAGAACTCTTGTTTAACTAAAAATATAACTTTAAATCACTGGCTGTACATTATATTCTATTTTAAGTTACCATTAGAATGTAAATTCATAGATTTTAATAGGAAAATGGAACTGAAGGGAAGCTTACAGCCCAACAGATACAACAAGTGTTACAGCCATTTTGAACATTTTTGGAGAGAGAATCCCTTTGATATAGTACACAAAAGCAACCACATGGATAACAATAAATACCTGCAGATGAAAGAAGACAACATTATGTCAAAGGGCAAAAGTACCACATTATGAAGCAAAAGTTAAAAGTCGCCTTTCTCCACCACAAAGGGAAAAAGAGCTAATTTTTGAAAAACTGAAAGAAGGGTTCGCCTGTCATTTCACACTTCACTAGGTATTACCTAACAGACACCTCATGACTGTAGCAAGAAACCTGAATAATAAACTGACAGTTTCCAAAAAGTAGTATACTAATCTATAAGATTATAACATGATAGACTAGCAAACTAATGCAAGACAAGATTACAGTTTTTTATAGTTTCACATATATCTAAGGCATGATCAAGCAGAACGAAACAAACCTCTCAAAAATATACAAGAAAAACTATGCAAGAGCCAGTTATCAATTAAGAAATAAATTAGAAAGGGAGAAAAATTACCAAAAATGATGCAAAATGTTCTGATGTCATGACAGCATTAAATCCTACCACAGGCACCAATGCAGCTAAGACTGTTCCCAAGACAACCTGCATGGAAAACGTTACAGTTCAGCTGAAATCAGGAAATTTTAAGTAAAATATTGAGAAAAAGTTGTGTCCTACAACCATCATATGGTAGAATTTAAGAAGGAAGTAAATTTTTGAAACATTTTTACAAACTAGAAATTAGCATGTCAAATACAAAAAAATATAATACATAAATACATATTCAGGACTCACTCTGTTGTGTTTTAAGGATAAAACTATGAGTCCCCATTTTATAGTCCAAAGAACCATTGGATGGGGGGACAGCTCCCAATTTCAAGGAGCCTACCCCCATCCAATGGTTTAAGTTGTGCAGTCCAAACTACACAATACTTTTTTGTGAAACTATTTGCATGCATTCTTCAATATTACATGGATTCTCACTGCATGACTGCTGCAGATACTTACAAGAGGTGCATAGGCGATGTACAACCGAGGAGAATAACGACCAGTTACAATACAGAGAAGCACATGCATAGGAATTAGATTAATAATGAAGGTGTATCCTCCCCAAGAGCAAACCTGAAATAGAAACAATGAACTGATGAACAAAAATATAGTGATTAGTGAATGTAATTAAGGATAGAAACATATTAGGATTAACAGCATACCATATAGAAGTATGCCAGCGCATTCAAGGTGGCATAGAAGAGTGATCCTGTATTCAGCGTCTGCAAATAATATATAAATTTTTTAGATCAAAACGAATAATATATAATTGAAATCAGGGAATAGGATATGAAAATAGATAAAGATAGTCCCCATAAAGTGATAAATTATGTGTCAACAAATCACCAACCAGTAAGTGGGATCTGGACACTACTGGATCTGTAAACACAAAATATCAACTAAGTTCTTTGAAAAATCTAACCTTAATGTAGAGATAAAAGGTGAAGATCAAAGCAAATATTGCTACGGCTTCATTGTCATAGCTACCAGCCACAGATCGAGATATATATGATGGAACCTATAAAAAGGATGGAGTTCATCAGCCATAATCCAAATTAGGAACATGAATTGATGGCAAAAATGAAAATGAAAAACCAAACATGTATATGACCTAATTGAAAAGAATGACATATTTTGTGTGAAGGCTGAAATAAAGAATTGGAAAAAAGTTCTGCTGTTTCTGTTCAAAGTTGGATATAAATTTACCATGGCCAGAAGGGCAGCAGCTGTCAGTCCAGCACCAGGACCCTTAACTTCCTATGAAAGTAGCAACTTGACATCAGTAACAAATATAAGGTCAAACAACAATATACAGCAAATATAAGGCTAGACCAGAATGTGAACCTTGGTTAGAAGATAAGTTGCCCATGAAGCAAATGCAGAGAATATAGGTGCAGTGAACACGCAAACAGTCTCCACAGACAGAGGAATATTCAGAGAATTCAATAACCTGGCAAGAGAGTGTAGGAACTTCAGGTGACTAAATTTGGATCAATCATACTGACTACTTCAAATGTTTTATGTAGGAGAGAAACCATGAGCATACATGGAGATAAAAAAGAAATGAGATCAAGAGACTTTTAACAGATCATGTCTTACAATTAACTCTCAAATACCTACCACCAAATGGTGCCCGCTGTCAAGGTCAACCCAGGGTATACTGTTCCACCAATCACACGACCAAGAGGGTACCTTGAGTACAGCAAAACAGACAAGTTCAACTTAGATTCTAAACTAACAACCAAACGAGGTAAAGGCAATAACATATCAGCCAGTAAACAATACCAGGTCCGATCGTCAAACCAGTTCCAAAATTCATATATCCCATTCTTCGATAGAAACTGAAACCAACAAACAAGCACATTAAGTCATCATCTTGCATGCTGCTTTTGATCCCGCAGAATGATAAAATGACAAGACAAGATCATACTGAAAAGCTTTAAGCACCTAAAATAGCAACATTACACTAATAATTCCCTTATAAGCTAAGTAGAAATTAAGAGTAATTAAAAGCTCTCTGAGAGGAGCCGACCTGAGTGACTCTGTAGTTGAAGTAAGGATCGAACTCATGAATAATACTCTCGTACTTTATAACCTGTAAATCAATCCACACAATGTAAGAACCATAAACTCCAAGTAGAACAAACTCTAATTCAAAAAGAAGGAATGGAAAAAACTGATTCATTAAGTAATGACTAATCGGCAAGCAAAAATTGTATAGTACTTCACAGATCGTATCTAGAGCATTAGGTGAGAGCATGAAATCGGAGATCTTACAGAGAAAAGGCGGATCGAGAAAGCAAGAACTCCAATCAGAAGGAGGATGAAGAAGGAGAGAACGTTGCCAAAAGCGTGACGCAAGGTGGTACCGTTCGTTGTTGGCGTTGCTGCTATCGCCGTCGAGGTCTCTGGGGCCGCCATTGACGGCCAATTCACGTTTCGATTCAGATGGTTTGCCTGAGTAGACTGAGGAAGAGAAGACTTTGGAGAAATGCAAAAGGAGGGGGGGGGGGTCATGCGGAAAACAACAACACTGCTCTCCAATTAAAATGACGATAACGGGTAGAAGTGTTTATTGAATGACGAGAATGTCCTGTCATGAATATACGTGGCGAAGGATTATTGGTTCTTGGGACGGACCCTGTGATTGGTCACCTGCTGCGTGGTTTGCCACGTGGGCATCTGTTACTTGCTGGTGAATTTTGAGGGGTTTTTTATATAAATTTGAAGGTCTTTATTATTGGGAAAATGATTGTTACTTAAAATAATTTAGTGGTTTTTTCCTTCTATTAGAAATAAAAAATTATGAATTTGAGTCGCATAGTATACAGTTGAGATGAGATAAAAAATAGAATATAATTATCTCTTATTTGTAATAAAAAAAATAGTAAAACTTATTTGGATTAGTTTTTTTTATACATTAATAATTAATATTTGTTAATTGATAATTGTTATTATTTATTATTTAATTTATTTAATTAATATTAACAATTAATAATTGTTTATAAAAAGTCAAAGTAAACGTATTATAATGTCTATATGTCTCACTATAGATGCTTTTTGCTATTTGGTAAGCATTGCAAATACTTTGGGAAAGAGGTTTCTAGCGAGTTTTTATTGAGACAAATTCTTTGCTTGCTATACAAAAGCTCAGCGACGATATAGAAGTGAGCAATGCACTTTCTGGTATTGTGAGGACATGAAAGGAGTAAATATATATGCAGAGAGATTGGCGATGTGAGATGAAGCATATCTTTTGAAAAACAAATTATTATGCGGATTGCATGGCCTCAAGTTTTTGTCATCTTTGAAAGGGATTTCATGTCTGTGAAGAACCTCTGTAACTTGGTTCATGATCATTTTAGAAATGATTTAATAAGAGTGTTGAGGCATAAAGTCTCTAGATTAACTAGTACTTAGGCATTGTGCATCATAAAAAAAAAAAAAAAACTAGTACTTAGGCATTGTTCATTGTACCATAAAAGAATATTTAAAACAATAACAAAATTCTATAATATGACCTAGCATAGTTTAATTGAGGATGTGTTTTGTTTTACCTAATTTTATCTAATTATAGCTTTTTCCATAAACAATTAGTTAGGGTGTTTGGAAATATTACCTTAAA